GAGTGTGTGTGTGTGTGTGTGTGTGTGTGTGTGTGTGTGTGTGAGTGTGTGTTTGCTTTGCCGTGTCAGATCAGCACAAGAGTGCAAGGGTGAGCTGGGAACAATGAATCATGAGGGAGAGGCTGCCAAACCCGCTCACCTGCTTTAGTGGGCAGAGTGTTCTTCTCCGCCGTGTTTGTCTTCTTTAGGCATCTCTTGTCAAACTGCTGCACCTCTTCTTTAACAGGGTTGTCGCTCATTTTGGAGAGTCTGTGAGAATTCGAGTCATTGGAAGTTAATGGCAGTGTCCGTCTCTACATGCAGTGTTTGCTTTATATCGTCCTCAATAAAACTATTCGTGAATCAAAACCAATCAATCAACTTATTGGCATTCTAATGCAATAACGGTCAATCCAAATGTGTGTTTGGACAGTACTTGTGATTCTTGGCATCTTTCTCACACAGAGCTGGCAAAGCATGCAACGGCATCTCGCTCATGCTTGAACCACATTCTGAAAAGCATGTTTAACTCCCCAAGACCCGTTTCCACAAAGGTGTGAGCTGAAGTTTTGGTGACCGTGTATGAACACGTCGACACACCCTGTCCTCAGATGTGTGTTTATGTAAGCTCTTATCAGCCAGAGCTACAGTAAAATCACTGGCCTAAAATTACACTCTACTCAAATGGGTTGTTTTCCTCGCTTTTTGCATATTTACAGAGACCAGGAGTGCGCTGGAGCTTAATGCTTGTGTGTTTAACAGATAAAGTCAGCATAAAGCTGAAGTTACAGAGAGATCTGCAAAACATGAGGAAGTCATTTCACAGAATCCCCCAGTGCAGCTACTATCCAGTCAACAGACCATTTCTCATTAAAGTAAGCATGCTTTATGTTGCCACGTTCTTAGCAACACTTAATATTCTGAATTACCTGTTGTATTCACGTCATCACTTAATAGGACTGAATAACTTGAATAGGGCCAGATCATATTCAATTTTTCTCGCAACTTAATATCAGATTTCATTAAAAGAGAGAGGGAGAGAAAGTTACTGTGAGAACACAGTAACTTTGAAAACATTTTAGTTTAGCAAATCAAATTATTCATGTATTGAATGTTTTCTCACATTAGTCTGAACAGAATATCAGAACAATCTTATGCACACACAAATATAGTAAACAAAGAAGAAATGATCTTAGCAGGGCAGTGTGCATGAGCCGATGTTTTATAAGATCACGATCAATTCCTCACGTCTTCACCACACCCAGCATGACTCGCGCCAAATCTCTGGGATTGTGCAACACTGCCAAATACTTGAAACATTTGAATGTTTGAAACGTTCCAATCGACGCTTTGCCGCAGCTGGGTTTTTCTAACTGTGTTTAGCGCATTAATGCGCCATAAGAATTAATGACAGACTGCGCAAACCATAGGCACACGCGCACACGCACACACACACGCACGCACACACACACGCACGCACACACACACACACACACACACACACACACACGACGCCACAAACTAGTACGTTAATCAAGTACACTGCAAGCGCACATACTGCATTGACAGGTGCGCACAAAGATATGTTGTCCTGATTTAATATTTTCCCTCCATATTAAATGTATAATGAAATGTAAACGCATATTGTATCAGTTTTGCAACTGTATAATGTTCCTGCACACTTTTAAAGAGAAACGTCCGTCTTTATTTAGACTGTATTAGTAGTATCTGGAACAGTATGCAAAATAATATGATATGAACCGGTATAGTACTGCAGAATCTCTTTCCCGGATTAAATAAACATATGATTGGGTGTATTTAAGAGCCTCACCTGGCGCTGGCCTCGGAGCTGTAGTACACTAGATGTGCTGGACTCGATCTCTGTGCTGCTCAAGGTGGGCAGCTGCTTTAAATACACCCCGTTGCACAACAGCGCAGATGTAATCCGCTCGCTCTAATTGGCTCAAGCTCTCACTACTGTACTCTGATTGGATAAACGCGCAGCGCTTCTGCATTGTGATTGGACGAACCTGCGGCGCAGTGAAGTAACGGTAATTGAGTGTGAAGAGTGGGAATTCTTATAAACCGAAACTAACGTTAAAGTGAACACAGTGGACGTGTTTCTAGAGAGACAACGTATTATATTAAATATCGCAGTTTAAGTATATGTTCTGCCTAGTGAGGCAATGCATCTACCAGCAGCGCCATCTTGTGGCGATTAACCTTCAGGTACTGATGCAAAATCCTAAACAAACGAGAAGGATGTTCCTGCACAACCGGAGGCTGCAGTTCTAGGACCCTGCTGGTTTAGTTTGTAGTAATGTTTGTACATGTTGTTAAAGATATTGAATCTCAGGAACATTTTTTTTTTAATTTCAATTGTGATTTTTGATTTATATATGCATCAGATGTTAATTACAAAGTGTGTAATACCTGCTTTGAGTTAACAATTTTAAATTTAAATGAATTTACACTTAACACAGTCTTTAAACAACTGAAAAAGTGGAGTACCTTAAGTCTTAGTTTCTTGAAATATACTGTATATTGATTAGCCCCCTTAAGTTTAACTAGCTCATTATCCGGTATAATAAAGATAGAATCAAATGAAATCAGCATTTGCAGTCACTAAATTACAGCCAGATATTTAAAAGTTTGTAGAGAGGCAAGACACAAGACTCAAGAATGATTCAAGAATGCATATTTATATACTGTATATACTCATTTTTGCAATAACACATAATACAACATCATAAAAAAGACCCCCTTTTCCATCAGTTGCTGCATGGACAGAAAGGCTGTAGGCTTCAACTCCTGAGAGAGATAAAAAAGAGAGAGAGAGGGAGGGAGGGAGGGAGAATTAAATAAGAAACATTTGCTTTAACATGTTAAACTCTGTAATATATATTTCTGATTTAACACTTATGCACTGTTGGGGTTGTAGAGAGAGAGAGAACCAAACAGAATAATCATGTTACTGACATCTAACTCCAAATGTAAGAATATAAGAGCAAAACCCACCAACTGCATGTTCTCTCTTCTTTCCTCACACGCACGCACACACACACGCACGCACACACACACACACACACACACACACACACACGACGCCACAAACTAGTACGTTAATTAAGTACACTGCAAGCGCACATACTGCATTGACAGGTGCGCACAAAGATATGTTGTCCTGATTTAATATTTTCCCTCCATATTAAATGTATAATGAAATGTAAACGCATATTGTATCAGTTTTGCAACTGTATAATGTTCCTGCACACTTTTAAAGAGAAACGTCCGTCTTTATTTAGACTGTATTAGTAGTATCTGGAACAGTATGCAAAATAATATGATATGAACCGGTATAGTACTGCAGAATCTCTTTCCCGGATTAAATAAACATATGATTGGGTGTATTTAAGAGCCTCACCTGGCGCTGGCCTCGGAGCTGTAGTACACTAGATGTGCTGGACTCGATCTCTGTGCTGCTCAAGGTGGGCAGCTGCTTTAAATACACCCCGTTGCACAACAGCGCAGATGTAATCCGCTCGCTCTAATTGGCTCAAGCTCTCACTACTGTACTCTGATTGGATAAACGCGCAGCGCTTCTGCATTGTGATTGGACGAACCTGCGGCGCAGTGAAGTAACGGTAATTGAGTGTGAAGAGTGGGAATTCTTATAAACCGAAACTAACGTTAAAGTGAACACAGTGGACGTGTTTCTAGAGAGACAACGTATTATATTAAATATCGCAGTTTAAGTATATGTTCTGCCTAGTGAGGCAATGCATCTACCAGCAGCGCCATCTTGTGGCGATTAACCTTCAGGTACTGATGCAAAATCCTAAACAAACGAGAAGGATGTTCCTGCACAACCGGAGGCTGCAGTTCTAGGACCCTGCTGGTTTAGTTTGTAGTAACTGCGGTCCTGAAACTGCAGCCTCCGGTTGTGCAGGAACATACTATTGAAATAAACACAAGTTCTGTCATACTTTGTTGTAAGTCACTTCTGGAAAAATCACAACAGCACTTTTACAGTTTCTCTTAGAAGACCTTATTTTAAATCCCGTTTGATTCCATTTGGAATTAGTGCTGAATTATTGTAGAAATTAGATCAAAACTTGATTTGAGCTACATAAACTGATGCAATGCTACATTTCTCCAAACCTGATGAAGAAACAAACTCATCCTGACCTCCTTTAAGTGAAATATGTGTCATTATTATTTATTAAAAACAATGCAAACAGCTCGAAACTAAATCGATACAAGGTTTCACAGGCTCTAGAAAAAAAAAGCATTTGAGAAGAACCAAAACAGGTGTTTTCTCTCAATTGCATATGGGTTGTTTCACATTTTAATAGAACTGAGCAGTTGCACGGCTGCATTGCTTAACATAGGCTATACAGCATACATCTTGCATCACTATTGCACCAGTGAATAGATCAGCAGATTGGTGCTACAGTAAAAGACATCCCTGCCAAACTGAAATCCATCAAGCAGCATTGAGTATTAACCTGAGCCGTTCTGGAGGTTTAGGTGATCATCGGGAGTACCTCTTCAGCTGGTCATATACGGCAGTGCAGGAGCGGATCCTCCACAGTACAGAAGAACCAGCCTGCGCTGCCAGCTGCCTTTAACCCCTCCGCCTCCTCCATCCACCTGAGCCTGCATGTTAGCCACCAGCACAGAGAGCGGGTGGAGCGGCACACTGATCACCATTGAGTTCAACACACCAGTAATAAAGGAGGACGCTACAGGAGAGCAGCCACCAGCCCTGAGAGTCTCAGACACGGGGTCCTTCAGCCCAGGCTGCTCCCTAAGGCATTGAGGACCACTATGGGCATGAAGGCAGTGTAGTATCCTGATGCTAACGGTCTCGAAGCTAGCTTGTGCAGTATGCTTCTTAATGTAGGAAGGCTGGAGTCATTGGAATCACTGGCCATCTCTGAGGCCACGGGTGAGTGAGGAGTCGAGAGTCATATCACATTAATGATCGCTCTTGCTGTGCACCTTATTTTAATATAAGAGAGTGTGGTCATCTGCCTCCAGTTATTGTTGCTGTACAAAACAGCTTGTTATGCTTCTTGATGTTGCAAACTAGTATTTATCACATTGTTTTTAGTTTATTATGATAAGCATAAACGCACTGGCCTGCGCTTCCCAGCATTGTAAGCTTAAGTAGAACCATTGTCACCAATGGAGCTAGGCTTGCGATGCTTTTGAGAAACGCAGCCCTGGTTTGTAGCGCAGATAGTTTTACTGTTTACTGCCCTTTGTTTTTCTTTCTGTTATTTACCAACATCTGCTAATGTCTCACACATTCATGGAAAATAGCTTGGTTATGCATTGCAAAATAAGGTGGATAGCAATGGTTTTGTATGTTCACTTAACATTTTTGTTTTGTTATATCTGTTGGATAAACAAGTGAACACAAAGCCACACTGATGTACATTAAGGTACGAGTAAACAATGAAAGTAGGCACTGCAATTTTATAGAATTCATCAATTCTATTATCTATGAGACAAATTTATTTATTCATGCATGCATACCTGAAAGCCTTCAAATGGCCCATAATCATTTTAAATGCAGGTGTGTTGTGGAAGAAGGCAGATTATAGCTGTTTATATAGTACTGCAGTGGCTGTAATGTCTGTAGCTCTCTGTTTACCTGAAACTTTGAGATCATTTCCCCACATTTATCTGTCTGTGAAATCTATAACTTAAGTAATATGATGTCAAGTACACAGAGTGCAACCTTTCGCACCATCAGTGTGAGCTGCAACACCTGAGAAAACTAAACACGAGTGTCCAAAGAAGTCAGTGGACATTAAAGCCCATCAATCGTAGAGACCCCAGTCTTAGCAGGATGGTCCCATCATCTCATGTGCACAGACATGCATCCGTCTTATGCTAGGTGGCGCAATTTGCATTTTGGATCATAACTCTGAAACCCTAAACCCTTTTCTCAAGCCCAACAATGTATTATTACACGCATGCCATTCTGCGGATGCTCGCCAAGTTGAATTAAAATTGCACCCTTAGGGGGCTTTACAATTAAAACTCCTTAATAACGGTATTACTAAATGATCTGTGAAGTCTGAAATTGGTATGAATCTTCTTTGGTGGGTGACATATCTTCTAATATGACTCAACTATAAAAAATCAATCAATAAACCAACAAACATGGCCACCAGCAGCCCATTCTCAGCAGCTAATAAATTCTGAATGTCCTATACCAGTATGAAAATTGACATATTCATATATCATGTGAAAACAAGTCTGTACCAAATTTTGTGAAAACAGGCCACAAGGTGATGCTATAACACGCTACTTTACATTTTCACCGATAACCGCAAACATGCATTAAACATGATGTTTATGCATAAGATAACATAACTATTCCCTACACTTTGTAACTCCTCCTTCGCCACACATTGCACATGCTGGAAAAAAAAGTTATCAAAAGAATTTGGATCTGTTGTTGCAGCCATGATCCGACACATTTGTTAGGTGTGGCCCATTATGACTAATATGCCCATATCTCGTGTGCACAAAGTCCAAACGTATCAAAACCTTGTACATATGCAGTGTTGGGCAAGCTACTTGGCAAATGTAGAGAGCTAACAGTTACTCTTCATTAAATGGAGCTTCACTACACTAAAGCTACAGCTCTGTGAAATGTAGCAAGCCAAGCAACATGGCAAAAGTAGTTTACTACATCTAACCTATTAAAAAAAAATAATAATAATAATTTTTATATTGAACCAACATCATAACAAGTCAATGCTCTCTCAGTGATCAATAAAACTGTCAGTCAAACACACAGACAGGCATATTAGTTCAGTTTAGTTGTTTATTCAACAACTGTTCCAAACCAATTTGGCAACAAAAATCAGTATCATGTACAGGGCTGGATTTACATCATATTGTGTCAGCCGGAAACATCCTATTGGTATTGTGGCTTTATTGTATACAGATACATTTATATAAATGGTAGTAACACTTCACATTAAGGTTCATTAGTTAACTAGTGTAGTTAACATGAACTAAGAATGAACAATCTGCAGCATTTATTAATGTTAATTTTAACATTTACTAATGCATTATTAAAATCAAAAGGTGTGTTTGTTAACATTAGTTAATGCACTGTGAACATGAACTACAAATGAACGACTGTATTTTCATTAACATTAACAAAGATTAATAAATACTGTAATAAACGTATTGTTCGTTGTATGCTCATGTTAGTTAACGTTAATAAAATCTTATTGTATATTGTTACCATATATAGATGCATAGGCCTACAAATAGCTAGGCTACGTTTTATTGCATCGTTGCACGAGTCATTACATTTCACTAAAATCATGTTCAAATACGAAGTTTCTGACCAGCAAATGTGTTTTTTCCCCTCATTAACTCCACATTTGAAGGCAGTAGGGGCATCGCATTTACATTTTCATGAATTTGCAGGTTATAGTTTTCTGTCGCTATGTGGGCGCTCAGTTTTTTTCTGTTATTTGGCCAAAATATCATATTATGAAAGATTCAGCGCTTCGCACAAGCTATTTTACTGTGACTCGACAACAAATGCTAAGACACTCTTCTCCGCTCCTCAAATATATATAAATATAGTGTTTCTTGAGTAAAGAAAACGCTGTACTTATTCAGTCAACAGTTTATTTACCTTCAGACTGCAAACAAGCTGAGGTACTCTAAACCTCAATCTTCTAAATCTTCAGTCACGAGGCGGGAGGAATGAGGTTTGATTGACAGTTTGAGCAGCCAATGGCGTTACGAGGTGTAGTGGAGGGGGCGTTAATTTTACTGATCCAGGATCAGTGATCCTTAGCTGTTATATTTCCGATTTGAGACAGTGTTGCCAACTTAGCAATTTTGTTGCTAAATTTAGCAACTTTTCACACTACCCTAGCACCTTTTTCTTCCAAAAGCACCTAGCAACAAAATATAGCTATTTTTAAAATTTATTTGGCAATTTTTAGCAACTTTTGATAAGTGACTCAAACGATAAAAAGGCACACAATTTGCATCTAAATCACACAAAATGAGGAAACCAAAGATGCCTAGCAGTACACACCTCACGCGAATTAAGTTAACTGCTATTTGCAATTGTTCAATTTATAATAATTGAATAATTGTTAATGTATGATACACCTTAGCTTGTACCTGCGATTGTTGATCAGTTAGTACACTGTAAGAAAAATACTGAGAAAAATGGAAAAGGAACTAGTAATTTTTCAGGACATTATGTGTTATCCATTATCCGTTGTAACCCGAAAACACAAAATACAATGCGTAATTTAAAATGCAGGTAAAAAACCCTCATATTAACATAGTAGATTGTGCCCTATTTTTACAGACTTTTCTTAGAGTGTATCATACTAACTACTAATACACTGCTTAAAACTATAATTGTTCAGAATGTGTAGTTTTACTAGTTTATTAGCTAATAAAAAAATAAATAATTGTAATGGTTTAAAAATGTGTAAGTGTTCAATAATTCAATGTTGTATTTAAAAATAGTTATTTATATTTTGATATTATATCATGTATTTATATTATTTTACGAACAAATCTAAATTAACATATAAAATGTAGTTTTTGCTGAGATTTGATGTAGACACATTTTTGCGTCGTAATTACGTAATGTCATCGCGCAATGACATCACAACGTCATTTAGCAACTTTTAGCAGCAAATCGACTTTCCTTTAGCAACTTCTCCTGAAAATTAGTCGGCAACACTGATTTGAGCTTGAGCTTCAGAAATGCTTTGAAAATGTAGCTTTCGTTGACACTACTTGATCAAAAACAGAGCTTCGCTACCGAAAAGCTATTTGATTCAGAAAACAGCGACGCTAATGAG